TTCCGTGGTCACATGGCCAGTGCGACTTAGACACGGAACGCTGTTACCTTCCCACCGAGGTGGTCCCTATTTATCTACTTGCATTTGCATGCTTTCGAACCGCTAGGTTGGCGGGAGCTGGGACAAGCGACGGGCGCTCACTCCGTCGCGTGGATTCGATCTTACGACTGCTTGGTCTTCTGACCCTGCAGCACAGGCTTCTGCGGTTTAGCCCACAGCGCCACCACGTCCCTTACCCTCCTCCTTCTAGTTGAGCACTAAATCAGAAATATCTGGAAGCAGCTCCAGATTGAACACAAATATGACAGAGACCCAACACAACTCATGAGAGAGAAGGAAATCCATGGCACTTCCTGTATTTGTTACTCTTCTTCTCTTCTCTTCTTTTTTTCACTAAAGTGTACTACAAGGAAGGGTTTAGATTTGCACTTTATGCCACCAAGCTGAAATTCTCCGCCCTCCTCCTCATCAACTTACCCCCCCCCCATTTTGATAGGTTTGACCTTTTCAGTGGCAGATATTTTGAAAGTTAACCATTCCACGCAAGGTGTAAACGCAGAAAACCGAAAGCCTGTAGCATAAATGGGCAAGAAGTCAAATCTGGAATATGAAAAGGTCAAAATGGAACTCCGTCGCCTGCATAATTTGAGAACTGCCGCCCCTGATACATCAGAAATGTAAATTCTTGCTCTTGGAACAATTGATTTAGAAGGAGACGCATAAATGAGACATCAATCAATCACGGTGTCAGCCAGCACAAAAACCTATGCAAGGACAATTCTGAAAGGCAGACTATTCATGTGGGTGGTTCAGTCGTGGATCCTGTCCCGTTTCTGAATCTGCCATGGAATGGAATGGTGCTCACCACCAGGTTGATGGCAGTGATGACAGGAGCCCTGACAAGATGCAACATAGGGTTAATCAGAGTTTTTACAACTTAGGTATACTTCACATTTGCATGGGGACAATGAGGCGTTCTTGTAGCGTTCTGTCACTTTTCAAAGGAATGGGCATTGGTTCAATGGCACCGTTGTGTCTATCTGCTCTCCCCTTTTTTTAAAAAATGGCCCAAATCCTATTGCATTCCCCCCCGAGAGAGAGGACTTCAGTCCTTAGAGGCTAATGATGGATGGATGACCTTTGGCTCTGGCAAAATAGAATGGTTTCTCAAAATTTGACTTGACATTTTGGCAGATGTTCTGAAGCACTGAATGGCTGTTGAGTGGAGGTGGCAGACAACTGCTCCCTCAACCCACGTCTGTGCCAAAATGTAATGTTCAGTATGTTTGTGATGTACTAAGTTTCAGAATAAAGAGTAGAGACATTTTGGCTTAATGGAGATCATGTTTGTAATGCCTTTTGAAAATGTGTGGCCTCTAGGAATCTGTTTGGAGGAGTGTTGCAGGCCTGTCTTCTGGTGGCACCTTTTTGTTCACTTAGTTACTTTATTATTATTATTATTATTATTATTATTATTATTATTATTATTATTATTATTATTATTATTATTATTATTATTATTATTATTATTATTATTATTATTATTATGCAAAGCCAGAACTTATCTGGAATGTAATTGATCTGGTCTTTCACAAGGAGCAGAGTGACCCACAAAACTCTTGTATTCTAAAGCTAGGGCTTTGTGTTTTGGGAGAAAACTTAGCTGAAGCCAGTTTCCACTCTGAAAACTCTCTCCTGAAGACAATTGAGATTAATCAAATATTTGGGCATGAATGCATTTTGATATGCCCTCATAGAACCATGAAGTCAAATGAGTTAAAGAGAGATATAACATCTAAGTCATGGACAGTAAACCTCTGGCTTGGTGGCCAAATAGAGAGTGTGTGGTTGTGGGTCTCTTCTGACCCATCAGTGTCTCCTCCTTATCCTTTACTGGGCAGGTAAAATCTTTTCTCTCTGATCAGAGGCTCCCCCTGCTTTACATCTAGACTGTAGAGAGCAGAGGCTTTTTAAAAGGCCCGCTTTTGGGAACAGCCCTGCTAGAGCAAGAAGTGCTAATCTTTCAAGCTGAAATAGTGTGAACCTCCCCCACAGAGTCGCTCCCCCCACCTGACTTTTACAAAATATTAGTCCCAAGGGGAAGCCTTTAAGAAGCCTCAGTGACTCTGCAGGCCTCCTTGAAAATCTCTCCTTTTATATATTTATTTCAAAGCCTAGTTGCATTTTCAGGAGATGTGTGGGCAGGAGAGTGAATGAATAGGGTAGAGCCACTGTACTGCTGACACACATCAGTGGTGGTTCTACCCGAAGGCTAACGTGGTCCCCAGCATAATACTCGGTTTTAACTTTACTCCTCAGTCTTTAAAAGGATATTCACCCCAAGTATATTATAGAACACAAAAACTGTGCATCAGTACCTGGTGCGAAACAGAAGACGGCAAAGCATTCTCCTGTAGAAGCCACTGCTGTGACTAAGGAACGTTTTTTGTCAAAGTACTGAGACAGAATGGTAACAGTAGGGAGAAATGTAAGGCAGTATCCTAAGCCTGTGAATAAATACGGTTAAAAACACAAACCATAATTATTACGAGCCATTTAAAAAGATGCTGATATCAGACAAAAGCTCTTACAATTTTTTTTAAACCACTCTCTTTGGCCATACAATCAATCCACCCCACAGATTTTGCTCCTGGAGCTCTGGCATATTTGTTCAGTTCTCATTAACAGCTGTTGCAGTTTTCAGATTCTTGGAATGCGCTGTGACAGCTTTCTTAATAATACAGTATCTCAATATGTGCTTTGCAAGGGTGCTGCCAAACTCAAGTTAGCAGTGTGGCAGAGCTTTCTCTCTGTTTATTTGCCAAGCTGGTGCTGCTGCTTCAGTGTTGCTGTTCACCTTCCAGCTCCAACTCCTTCATGCTTTTTTGCTTCCTGCTCCACCCCACACCCCTCACCGTTCCTTCGCCCACTGCCACTAACCACAAGTTAGAAATGTTTGAGAACTCCTGACCTAGGGTCACACAGCAAAACCAGACAGCTCCATAAAAGCTAAGCCACTTCTGGCCCTGAATACAGTAGAAACATAGTGATGTTATGACAGATAATTATTTATGAAATAGTTGGGACATACAACTCACCTGACACTATGCCAATCGAGATGTACATTTCAACAACACTGCGTGCAAAGGAGCCAGTTACCATTCCACTACTGATCAGTAACCCTCCGATCATCACTATCAAACGGTGACCAAAACGATTAGAAAGTACTGTAGCGAGAGGAGCTGTCAAAGAGAGAAAGGATTATCTTTTTTTGTATCTCTCTTAAGCAGCAGTTCCTAACGTGTGCTGCAAGAAGGCACTGTACTGGCTTTTTATGATAGTATTATACCCCTGTACTCCAGGGGATCAGTATCTAGTGATTCCCTTATGTGCTGCCTGGAAATAATTTAAAAACTTAGAAATATATATTTTTATTTATTTTCCGGGTGTATTTACTAGAAATGGCTACTAAATGGAGCCGGAGACCATGCAACGTATACTGTTCAATATTTCCATGTTTTTCGGCGTCCATACGAGAGGGCTAGGAACCAATCCCCTGTGGATACCACAGTTCTACTGTATTTTGGACTTGCTTGCTATGCAAGGAACAGGTTCTATATAGAACTGCATTAATATAAAAACACCAAAAAAGATGCACTATCTTTCCCCAGCAGTCTTGTATTAAACAAGACATAAACATAGGAAAATGTACATCATTGTCCTAATAATTCAGAATTCATTCGTTGAATTTTTATATTGCCCGTCTGGCAAAATGAGTTGTCTCACTTGAGTTAAACATCAAGAAGTATCCACTGGGAGGAGCTTTTCCGGTTCTAAACGTACTGACATTAGCACCTCTGCCTTTATGCAGCTCTGACTTACTAGAATGGAGCTGAAGTAGACTAAGCAATTGATTATGCTTGAACAACAAATCTGATGTGTAGCTGTCTTTCTTCTCTGTTTACATACCCCTCAATTTCTTTCCAGATATTTCCCTTTTTTCGCTTTCTACTCGTCTAGGAAAATCATAAATCCAAGCCTCTCAGCATCTCCTCTTTTAATGTGTGAAATGGTAAAGGGTTACTGTGTCATTGTCACTCTATAGATCCCTGTCCTCCTTTAATCTGCAGTGCCAGGCCTAAAATAAATCTGACAATAGCTGGGTTTTTTAAATCTTACTCTGCTGGTACTTTTGCTTTTTAGAGATTGCCAACACTGAAATAGGACATGGATGTACCTGTATATGTCACCCTTTCAACTCCCTCTGTAGGGAACCTAGCTCTAGCAATCTGATCTTCTGCAGATAAAGGTATATTTAAGGCCACAGAAATAAACGGGTTTAGGTATAGTTCATGTTGTACATAATTAGGAAGTTAGGAAGCCACCATTTTTAACTTCAAGATCTACTGTGTGCTTACCTGTAAATGTTAGTACAAAAACACATATTGAGATTATCCAAGATATCCTGCTGTTGGTTTCCTCAAAACTTTCCACTAAATCTGTAAAGAAGACTCCGAAAGACTTGATAATTCCATATGTCAGGGCCTCAATGAAGAAGAAGGCGAAAGCCACAATCCAGCCCCATCCTCCATCAGGCACTTTAGTATAAACATTTGGAGTGATGCATGACATTCTTGTTGCCTTGACCGTCATTTTTGTTCTGGAATAGAAGAGGAAGTGGGGGGTATCAAAATTTTTTCTAAGGACATGTTAAAAGCCTGTGTCCTAAACATGTTCTGCATGGAAATACAACTGATAAGCCTAGTGAGGCTTCCTTCCCAGTAAATATGCTTAGGATTATGCTTCACTATAAAAAGTGACCTTGTTTTCATAGGATACAGAGTGTGAAAGCAACAAACTTTTATTGGCTGGCTGCTTCAAGATTAATGTATAGTATCCCAAAAGAAGTTTCTCCTTTTATGATCAGATTGGACTAGTTGAATTAAGAACCAGAAAATGTATTTATTCGTAAGACCAGCTGTTTCTATTTAGGAGCAAGCAATTATAGAACAGTCATCTGACTTAAATACAGTGGGAGACAGTTCTGTGAAAAAACCCATGACGAACCCAAAGGCCCTGTGAAATTTCACAAATACTGTAAAAAGAAGGTTCAGAACTTGAAATTGCGGGTTGCATTTGCTGGTAGTTAACAGCCCGTAGAGCAAATGGATCTTTGGTCCTGCTCCAGCCTAGCTTATCAGACAGCTCCGTGTGTTTTCTGCATCACTGAAAAAATTATGTAAACTATGAACAGGATGAGTTTGCGTATCCTTGCTTTTAAAATAATAGATAATTGCAACAGTCTGGGTGCTTAACAGGCATTCAGGCTGCTTGGTCAGGAACTTTAACTGGTTCCCCAGACTCCAAAACATCCAAACCAGCAGACTTGTGCGAGACCACTGTTTTTGCTGCCTGTCTTACACAAGTCAGGTTTATTTGGATCCAGATCATTGCCCTCTAGTGGATCTTAGAATTATAAATCTACTTAAAGCAGTTTTACATGTTTACAAATCTTTTGACTGAACATCCTGTTTCAAATGAACAAGAAATTGTAACAACACGTTGAGATGAAACATATTTATTTATTGGATTTCTGTCCTGCCCATCAAGACCCAGAGTCTATCCCCTTGCAGTGGAAGCCTGAGTATTTCATGTTCTAGGATGTTTCTTATAACTATTTTTAATCACATTCTGACTGCCCATCTGCTGAAGTACTCCAACTTCCTCACACTCACTGAAGGACCTCATTGCTGCATACTGCAGGTGTCATGTAATTTAGTGAACACACTGCAGTTTTTTATTTTGGCACACTGGGATAAGAAAAGAGTGTAATAATCACTAATGAAATTAGAGTCTTCACTAAGGCAATGCCATAGAAAAATGTGACCTATTAGGCAGTTTTATTGCTCTCCAGGCAATTTATGTGGGTGGCACCTCCTAAAGGAGCATATTGTTCCTCAATGACTATGATGCATCTTGAAAAAACAAAGGTAAAATTGCATCAGTTTAATAGATTTCCATAGTGTGCTATACAGAACACATGGAGGTTGGCAAATTTTTTCTGTATGTGGCTACTTTGTCACAGGCTCTGAAAAACTGAAGGGAAAGCAGTGCACTGGCTTGGGACTCCTTGCAGGATATATAGCAATTTTACTCCTTTAACTTAAAAAACATCTGCATGCCCTAATGGGGGAAACCTCCATGTTGTCATCATTACTTGTCAAGTTATGTGTCATACCAGTTACAAGTGATTCAAGTTTTAACTAGAAGTGATATGCAAGTCTGTGTGCATAATAGAACCTCTTACTTGTAATACCTGCCATGGCATAAACTGCCTAACTTTATGTAGAGTTCACTGTAATTAAGCCAATTGAAAGAGTCACTGAAATCAATGACTTGAGTGTGCCTCAGACAGTTGCATTGGGAAATTTAGTGAAATTGTTTTCTGATTTTTCTGGAGAAATCTGAGATGCATTCAGTAAAAAATGTTAGTGGTCAGCAACTACTTTAGGATTATCTCCCAGTAGCTACATTTAAGACTGAGTAATTTTGCCCTTTAAAGGTAATCCCACTAGAATATGATTTACATCAAGTAGAGATTGAAACATGGAATTAAGAAATCTAGAATGGAGACTCGCCCCCCCCCCCCAAAATTATTTGGCAAAGAGCAAAGTAAAGGAAGGTTGCCTTTTATCAATTCATAAAATTTGAAGCAAAGGCATTGTAATGGTTTCTTGGAGATCATTTGATACAAAGGTACTCACATTGTAAATAAGTAAATAGTAGGCAGGCATTGTTAAATTGTTACACCAAAAATACTCTATCTAGGAGCAGCAATTATTATTTCTAGTAAAGCCTGCAATGCGCCGGTGCTTATGAAACCACAGGACTGGACAGGACTGCCCCAATTCTCTCATGTTTGGAGGAATCTACATAGGAGATCAGTATTTTATAAATGCTGTGAACAAGACATATTGCATATTTTATGTAGACCAGCTAAAACCATATTTTATCCAAAGAAGCATGTAAAGTGATCTACTAGAACTCCAGTCTCTCCCCCACAAACAGAGTTAAATTTGACTTTTTCAGAAGGTTTGTGTGTGTGGGAGAAACTTACTCCTAGGCTGTATTTATCATGTGGCTTTTTTGCACTGTGCTTGGCCACATCAAATACTGTGCTTGGCACATCCCATATGACTTGGTGCATTTGCAGGGCTGATCTGATCTTGAGCAAAACCCCTCTCTAATCTCAGCTTCACAGAACAGGCTCTGATACCAGTTTGATCCATTTCTGCAAAGGATCCTGTCCTGTCCAGAGCACTCCACTTCAACAGAACACTTGATGTGTTTAAGCCCTTCACTTCTGGCCCAGGAAGATTTGATTGCAGCAGGGGGACAGGACTTAAGCCACATGTGAGGCAAAGGTGCTTTGTTGAATTGTGATGAGGATGCCCACAGAATGTGCAGTCCTGCAGGAAGCAGGAGAGACTTTTGGCATGTTGCACCATGCAGTTATCCTTAAAGCACCTTGAGACTATTGTGCCAGAAAAAAAAAACCAACCACCCCAAAACAAAAAAGCCTCAAGCAAATTTGAATAAAAATGAGGGGGGGGAACAACGAATAAAGGGGAAACGTTTTCTTCTGAAGGAGAAAACAACAGGTTCCCATGGCTGAGACTACAGCGGGAGCGAGAGGGGTGAGTGACATCCCCCCCCCCATCCAGGTCACTGTGATGTAGAATGAGTAAAAGGAAACAGGCAGTTTCTCCACCACTCTGTGCACTTGTAAAAGGCACACTTTAGCAGGTTTCTTCAAACTGGCCACATCTTCCTCTTAAAAAAAGAAAAAAAGCACCGATGGTCTGGGGGGTGGGTGGGTGGGGAGAACACATCACGTTTTTCTTTTTAAAAGGCAGCAAGACAACCAAACTTCAGCGTCCAGAAGAAAAGTCACTTACCAGGTCAGTAGAAGATGTTGCTGCTGCAACTTGGGGAGAGAGAAAGATGTGTAAGGGAAAGACACCCTCCTCCCCCGAAGCCGCAGAGAAGTGCGGCTTTGGCCTATGACCTGGTCAGCAACATGTTGAGGTGGCTGCGGTCCAAGCCTCAACGCGCCCACCGACCCACCCACCCCCCGTCCGGCTCCACGAGGCACCGAGGGGTGAAGCAGCTGCCTCAGACTTATATCCCTGACCCCTTCGGGGGAGAGGGTGGAGCCTGTGGCTAAAGCAGACCCCCCCTCCTCTCCTTTCAGCGGGAGGGGGAAAAGGGGGGAGCCAGCAGCCCCTCACCCAACACTATGCTCTCGCTGCCTGTGCCAAGGCTGCCCCATGCCCAAGGAGGTGCTTCTCGGGCGCGCCTCAGCTCTTAAAGAGGGTCGCGTGCCCCCAGGAGCCACTGACAGACCCTTCTGCCCTCCTCTCTCTCTCTCTCTCTGCCTGCCTGCCTGCCTGCCTGCCTTGCCTTTAAATGAATCTCTTGACTCTTCTGTGGTTGCTCCTATCCTCAGTTGTCATTTCTGATATAGTACACGTACTCATTGGATTTCCATTTTTAACTAAGTTTCTTAATTTTTAAGTAGCTGGGAAAGCAGAGAATGCAGCTCTTCTGTATTTCAAAGAAATATTTAGCACATATACAGAGGCTCTCAAGATATTTCTAGAAAGCGGGAAAGGGCCGGCCCGTGCGGGTGTTTGGGTCTCGTTTGGCTAGTGATCCGGCTTTGCTACGTTCCGCTTTCCTCCCTGCCCCCCCTTCTCCCCCTCATAAAACTGCTGTAATGTATTTAATCATACACCACCTATTTTTTTTGCTTTCAACGGACGTTAGTCCCCCACCCGCCCCGGTTGGGTCCCTCGGTCCCCACGAGGCCACAAGGTTAGGGGGACTTGCTGAGAGAAAGGTTTTCCTCCTAGTATATTTGTCACATTCAGCAAAGCGTAATGCAAGAGGGCGCGTGTGGGGGGAGTCTCTCCCCCTTCAGAGGCAGGCCCTTAGCCCTGGCCGTTTCTTTTAATGTCGTCCCTCAAAGTTCATGGGGCTGGATCTCATTGCCGCTCCTGGACAAACGCGTCTGTTTTGTCTGGGGAGGAGGAATGAAAAGCATTTATTCTTACTCGGAGCCCTTGGGAAGGTTACGTCTCCTGCCCGATTTCTGCTCAGGAGGATGGGGGGGGGGGGAGAGAAAGAGAGCTGTCGGTGTGTGGCTGGCTCCCTCTCCCCCACCGACCGGAGCAGCACGAACGATTTGGTCCGGCGGACCGAGGGGTGTCCCCTCCGCTTATTGGGGGAGTCTCGTGTCCTTGAGGGAGAAGAGCTTGAGGGCCGCTCGTCTTGCCCGCGAAGTTTGTGTCCTGCGGGAGGTCATGTAAGGTAAACCGCGGAATACAGAGAGCAGCCGTGGGGAAGCCGTCGCCCACCGGCCGGGATGCTCCCGGTGCCTCGCTCGCCACCCTCGCTCCCGTGCATTTCCCTAAGGTTACATCTGCTGCTGACGCAGAAGCGCCCCCCGCCGCCGCCGCTCCCCCCTGCCCTGCCCTTGGCCAAGCCCGGAAAGAGGAGGCCGAGGCGCGGGCTCGTCATTCATTCTCTCGCTTTTCGTGCACAACTCCTGGGGCAAATCTTCGCCCGGAATCTCATTTCCCCCAGGCATCCTTGAGCGAGCGCGCCGTGCCTGAGCGTCGGAAAGCTGCCCCAGCAAGTATCCTCCAGACCTCCCGGGAGGCCTCCGTTGCTCCAAGGGCATCCAACCCCCTTGCTCCCCCGGAATTCAGGAGTGGCCTCTTTGAACAGCTCCGTGGGAGAAACCGGACTTGGATGCCAGCTCGGTCCAACGGGACGCATCCAGATCAACGCCTCGTGTAAAGAAGTCGCAAATGGGGATCGGTGCGGGGTGAGGGAAGAGGGCCAGCGGGTCCCCCTCCGCGGAATGGTGACTCAGCGACTTTTGGAAGACCCTTCGCAGGGTAGATGCAAGCCACTCCCTCCGGGATCCAGATGGGGTGTGTGTGTGTCTCTTTCCTTGACAGGGGTTTTCACGAATTCCGGTCCCCGTGTCATCGCTGCGGGCCTTCCCTCAAACGGGGTCCCCGGCGAGTGCCCCCCAGCGGCTGGATGCAGTCTAGCGGGACGGTCTCGGGAACGAGCGCCCGCGCGTACCCCCACCCCCCCTTTTTTCACCCCCGCGGCGGCGCGAGCGCGTCTCCTTTTCCCCAGGTTTGAGCTCGTGCTGCTGCGAGAGCTGATCCGGGCAGAACAGGTTTCTGCCAGTTTGGGTGTGTGGCTCGCCGCCGCCGCCGCCGCCGCCGCCTTGTGTAGGCTAGACGAGACTCGTAATCTTCCGGAAGCTGAGCTTCTCTTTTTGCAGCGAGCAGCCCTGACGAGGATGGCTGCAGGAGCTGGTGGAGCTTTTGCCGCGCCTTGAGGGAAAGAGCCGGCGGAGAGCAGCATCCAACCTCGCTGAGAAGCCCGGCGGGCATCTCTCTCTGTCTCTCAGTCGTTTCAGCAGCATCTTCCTACCGTGATAAACCCCGCTTCTGACAGTGGGAGTGAAGAACATCCTGATTTACCCTGCTTTCCCCTAACCCCCCCCCCGCCGCGCATGGCTAGGGAGACCAGGACGGCTTTTGCGAGGCTCTGGGCAACCTCTGCTATCTCGGCAGCGGCGGGTGTGCCTCGGTGTCGCCTGTGCGCGACGTGCAGTTCCCTCTCACGCACACGCTCCTCAAGCAGAGGTTGTTTCGTGCCTTCCGCGTGGACGGGGAAGGAGTTTTGCCACCCACCCACCCCAATTGGTTTCACCTCCCCTTTTTCCCTCTGTTTGTGTAGAAGGGCTGCAACAGGAGGAGGCTGGGGGTAGCTGGTCTCCCGAAATCGGGGACTTGTGTAACTGGGGAAGTAAACATTGGACACCTTAAAAAAGTAACGACACATAAATGGTAGCTTTTGTTTAAGAAGAAAGGTAGTTCAAAAAGATGGAATACACTTTTAAAGTGCGCCAAAGCAACTTCATATGAGGTACCTTGCCTCTGTAGATTTTTTTAAAAAAAAGTGGAGAGGGAAGACGATGCAGTTCTAACGTGTTATACATAATTTGACCAGTAAATTAGTAGGTATCAACCTCAAGGGTCCTCTGGCTATTCGGAAGTTCAACTCCACTTACTTCTCCTCCTCATTGGCCCTGGTGGTGGGTGCTGGTCAGGAGCTGCAGTCCAAAAAGTTTGAAGGGGCATCACTTTGTGGTGGGGCTGGTTCATCGTTTCCAGAAAAAACTAATCAGTGCATGTAGCAACTTCTGCTTGTAATTTTATTTTGTTTTCAGAGGCATCCACGCAGAAAGAATCATAGGGGGCTTCCACAGAATTTGGAAATCAGTCCCACTGAAATAAGAGGCTCTACTTTGAATGAGACAGGCTAGGGCTGTAATTCTGCAGGATGTTCTACTCACTGAACCCCGGAGTGCTTAGAATTTTCTCAGCCTGTTCCAAGACTGGAATGTTAGATGGTACCTGCATTTTCAGTTGCTCTTCCGGTAATAGGATAAGGCAGTTCAAAGAGAGTTGGAAGATGATGGTGCCATTGACAACATTCTGACATAAGGATGGATTCATAAAAATGCTTTCATACCCAATTAAGACCATTTTAAAACAAAAGTATGTGTTTCACAATTCATATACTTTGGTGTATTTTTCGGGAGGGAGTTTCCAGGCACTCTCAGACATTGCCCTCCATTATTCTACTGGTGTTCCTAAGATTTCAAAAGGGACCACCCACCTGTACTGGGGGAGCAGCGGGTGCTTTTTCTGAGAGCTTCTACCCCCTCCCCTGCATGGACCAAAGTAAATAAATAAATGGCAACATTAAAAAAAATTAAACTCTTTTCAAGAGGCAGCCTTGTTAGTATAACAAAGAACAAGAAAGTGAAGGCATGCGGCAAGCAATTTATCTTAGCTGGAGCTGTCCTGGCTTCAGGGACAAACTATTAAGCTGGTACATTTCTCTGGAACAGACATGTAAGTGATTTGGTAACTCCATTTGGATGCAGTTCTATGGTGGGATCATAGTGTTCCATATTAAAACAGTATTTGCAGTTTTTTAAAAACACTTTTAAAATGTCAACAACTTAGCAGTGATTACTACTGTTCTGCACCATTGTTTTCTTTAAGCAGCAGCTGTATATAGTCTGTCTCCATGCAGCCTTTTCAAACAGTTGTCCCATGAAAACCTATACCAAGACAAACCAGCAAACACTGCCTTGCCTTATATGGATTATCTGAGAACCCACACTCCAGTTTTCTGGAAATGAAGACCAAAACAGGAAATCAAAGCAGAGCAACAACCAGGTAATGCAGGACACCTCTAAAGGCAGACTTATCCAGATTAAGACCTCAAAAAATGATCCTAATCTCTAGTCAGTATGGGAGAGCAGACAGTAATTCTGACACTCAGATTGTGAGCTCCTTAAACCTTTGCAACTACTCTTGAACCATTACCAGGGAAAAGCCACACTTGGCACACTTCAATGGTGTTCTTTAGTGTCCCTCTGTTAAGTCTATTTTATTTCCTTATAAAATACTTGTAAGTTATTTTCCCCTTGTAACCAAGCTTTCCAAAGTGGTACACAAAATAAAACATTAAAACAACCAATAAACCAGAGCTTTTTTGTTGTTGAAATCGAGAGATGGAGAGTGAGAACCAAAAGCCATAAAAAGGTGAATGTCTTAAATTTTTGTTTATTTATTTTAGCTGACCTAAATCTAAGCAGAGACAGATGAGGTTTACCATCCATGGGAAGGAAATTCCAATGCTGACGTGAAGAACTTATCCTGCATTCTGATCAACCTGAACTCTGCTAGAGACAGAGATAAAGCAACAATTCAGAAAATGTTCGTGGTCTATGGATGAGTTCCTATGACTGGCTGTTCTTGTCCCAAGCCATCATAAACTTTGTAGATAAGCCTTGACTTGTCACCAGAAACATAATGGTACCTTCCAAATTGGTGTAAAATTGGTGTGGTTTAAAAACAGCAACAATCATTTGATTTATATAATGTACACAAAGAGCAAATCTGGGTGCTGTGTTTTATACCAGCTGCAGTTTCTTGACATTCTTCAGAGGCAAGTCCACACTGTGCAATTCAGTAACCTGGCTGGGGGATGGCGATGCATATGCCAGCGTGGCCAGATTTGATTTACCCAATATTTTCTCTTTAGCACCAGCCAAAGCTAAACAAAGGCTCTTCTGTTCATAGGAGCTGGCTGAGCACACAGCAAAGCCAGATTCAGCTGTACCCCCATGTTGTGGACCTCATCCTTCAGAGTTAGGGCAGGGCTACCCATAATTGGTTGTACTCCCAATTTTAGATTAGTTAGGCTGCTGATTGGCAGGGTTGGTGCCTTCTGTAGATTGAGCTACATGTTTTCAGCTTATAACTAGTCCTTTACTG